GACTCTCGCAGTGAGGAACCCAGCCGCGATGAACAGGAGTCAGTCGAGTCTTTGATTGACAACGGGACACATTGATCTGTCAATCACCTCCCCAGCTCGAGCTGCAATCCGCACAGTGCTCGATCTGCCTTGCGGGAGGGGCAGTGGGGGCTGTGTTGCACAAGGGGAGGGATGGTGAGCTGAGCGTGGCTGCGTGTTCGTTCATTCGGTTTCCTCAAACAATAAGCAACAAACTGAATTTACGCAGCCCCCCCCCCTTCACGTCGGGAGGTGTGTTAGAGCAAACTAAAACCCTGCAGGAAGTAACTGTTTAATATGTTCGCTATCTCCTGTTTACCCACGACCGTGCGTGGGACGCTGCCGTTGGCTGCCGCGTTTCGCCCAGAAAATATACGGTCAATTCACTTTACAGTACATTCTGTGAAGCGCTTTGAGACGCATCGAAGATGTGATAAGATGTTGTATCAGATGTAAGGGTTATTATCATTATTTTTCCAAACAACCTGCCCTGCTTCTCCTTCTCCTCCCCGGGACACGGAGGGTTAACACTCAGCTGTTTTGCCCAATTTCCGACCAGATGAAAAGAGATTGATCAGAAAGGGTCTCATTTGGGAAGTCACGAGCGGAATTTAAAAAAAAAATCTTTGTTTGGCGTGTTGGGGGTGGGGGGTGGGGGGGGGGAGGGGGGAAGAGAGAGAGAGAGAGAGAGAGAGAGAGAGAAAAATCAAAATGTTTTAGTAAATGCCTCATTTCCGATGCTAATAGAGACGAGACATCTGCACCAGTGGGGGAGCTCAGCAACTCAACAAAGCCTGGTGTCATTAGCAAGAAATTACACAGGAAATGCTGGCTGGTAATAGCACAGTTTACTGTATGGCCTCACTGGCAAGAGCGTGCCACTTGTCACATAATTATAGATGTATATTTTCTAGTCTATATACACATTGTATATTACTACACAGGGAAGAACCTTGGGCACATTTCCTTTCTCCCCACGCCTCTGTTTACCTAACAGTCAGTAGGAACACGGTTGTTAGTCGATTGTCGGATGGATCACTTTTCCGGGGGTAATAATCCCTTCAAAAAAAACAATAATGCGGTCACTCAATCCACGACTGTTTGTGGAATACTGCTGCTGCCGTATTTCGCCCACAGAATATACAGTCGATCCATTTTACCGCATGTTCTGTGAAGCGCTTTGAGACGTCTCGAAGACGTGATACGGCGCTGTGTCAAATGGGAGGATTATTATTACCGTACTGTGTAGTAACTGTGTATTTGTGGGCTGACAGCCCACTCCACTAACCTCTGCCTCCGATCGATTGGCTGAATCGAACCCAGGTCTCCCGCTTGCGAACTGAGCACGCGATCAGCTGTGCTACGGGATGCTGACCTGGCGCAAAGCTGGGCAAAGGCGTACACGACATGGGTTAGCCCCAATGAGCTCAGTGCTGTTGCCGTGAGAAGATGCGGGCGGGTGTGGGAGAGTGGGGGAGAGCTCAGCGAAGCCGGGCGACAGCAATCCGGCGGCCCTCACTGTGCGGAGCCGAAGAATGGCTTGAACCCGTAATCCGCACACGGGAGGCCAGGGACACGCACACCGAGCAGAATAGCTAACCATTCCAGCAAGCTATGGGGACTGCCATAACAACACACACAAGCTCTCCCTCTCCCCACTTCGCTCTTCCCCCTCCCCTTCCTTCTTTTGTCTCGGTTTCGTAATATTTTACTGCAGGCGAGTCTTCCTCGGGTGGTGGTGGGAGGGGAGAAAACCCAGACCATCTCAGGCCAGTGATGGGGGGAGAGGGAGAGAGAGCTCTGTGTTGTCAGAGGCGCCGACCGACCTTCGGATGTTACGTTAAACCGACCTTCCTCCCCTGTCCCCCTCGGTCCCATGTCGAAGCAGACGTTAAAGATCTCTCCGTGGCGCCATTGGAAAAGAGAAGGGAGTGTTTCTCTCTCTCCCGGTGACCTGTCCTGGGACGTTGCTGTGCGCAAATTGCCCAACAGCCCTGCACTTTACGGTACAATCCTGTGAAGCGCTTCGAGACAGTGAGACGTGACAGGCACAGCGTCATGTGAGGATTGTGGAATCAGACGAAATCACTGAGATGCTGGAAGATAATACCTTACATTTGATACAGCGCCTTGGCACGGAGGTGGGGGTGGGGGTGTGGGGGAAGAGGTGCGTCTCTGAGCTCTTCACAAGGTGTTAGCGTTTCGCCCACAAGATATTTAGTGTGTTCCGTGAAGCGCTTTGAGACATCTCGAAGATGTGATAAGACGCTGCATCGAATGCAATTATTATTATTTTACTGTAAAGTGCAGTGACTGTGTATTGTGGGTGAAAGGGTTTGATTGGTGAGCCTCATTGGGAAGGTTCAGTTGTGAACATTCAAAGAGTTTATTCCCATAATAATAATAATAATAATCCTTGCATTTGATATAGCGCTTTTCACGTCGGGAGGACGTCCCAAAGCGCTGCACTGTAAAGTGTAAAGTGAATTGACTGTATATTTGTGGGCGGACGCGGCAGCCAATTGCGCACAGCAATGTCCCACAAACAGTCGTAGATTGAAAGTGACCAATTTATTATTGTTTTTGGTTTGGGAGGGATTATTATTAGACTCTGTGTGGAGTAAGGAAACTTGCCGAGTCTATTCCAAGTCTTGTCACAACCGTGGAAACAGCTAAATCCACAGAATGCTCTCGCAAATCAGATGTATTTAACGGTGGATTTGCTGTGAAAGTGACTTTACAGCGCAGTTTTTCTCAACTAATTTATAATAATTTGGGGCCATTAGTTACACTCACATCAAACAATCAATATGATCTCTTGGAGGGGGAGGAGGTGTTGCCAATCGTTTGGTGAATGTGCTGGTCCCCAATCCACCACCCGGTGCCTCCGCTCGACTGGCACCAGCCTCCTGCAGGTCCCCCGCAGCCTCCGCACACCGCCATCGGAGACTGCGTTTTCAGCCACTATGCCCCGAAACTCTGGAACGCTCTCTCTCAAACCCTCAGCCTTGCCCCCCCCTCTCCCCTTTCTCAAGTCCTGCCTGAAAACCTTCCTCTTCAACCTCGCTTACAGCCACCTTCCCCCACACCCAGCCCCCTCCCAACCCGGGGATCGGAGTCAGGCTTCGCCTCTGTCAAGCGCTCTTGAGATGCTACCCTGCACGCTGGGGAATGGGGTTAGAGTAGAGAGCTCCAGTGGGGGAGCGAGCCCCAGCACAGACACGATGGGGAGAGAAAGAGAGAGCAGGGGAATGGAGTTAGAGTAGAGAGCTCCAGTGGGGGACCGAGCACCGGCACAGACGATGGGGAGAGAGAGAGAGAGCAGGGAATGGGGTTAGAGTAGAGAGCTTCAGTGGGGGACCGAGCACCGGCACAGACACGATGGGGAGAGTAGAGAGCTCCAGTGGGGGAGCGAGCCCCAGCACAGACACGATGGGGAGAGTAGAGAGCTCCAGTGGGGGAGCGAGCCCCAGCACAGACACGATGGGGAGAGAGAGAGAGAGCAGGGAATGGGGTTAGAGTAGAGAGCTCCAGTGGGGGAACGAGCACCGGCACAGACACGATGGGGAGAGTAGAGAGCTCCAGTGGGGGAACAAGCACCGGCACAGACACGATGGGGAGAGTAGAGAGCTCCAGTGGGGGAGCGAGCCCCAGCACAGACACGATGGGGAGAGAGAGAGAGAGCAGGGGAATGGGGTTAGAGTAGAGAGCTCCAGTGGGGGAACGAGCACCGGCACAGACACGATGGGGAGAGTAGAGAGCTCCAGTGGGGGAACAAGCACCGGCACAGACACGATGGGGAGAGTAGAGAGCTCCAGTGGGGGAGCGAGCCCCAGCACAGACACGATGGTGAGAGTTAGAGAGCTCCAGTGGGGGAGCGAACCCCAGCACAGACACGATGGGGAGAGTAGAGAGCTCCAGTGGACACGACGCGCTCCCTCCTGTGCTTAATGTCCTTCGATTATAACTCGCTGCACAATGATTGCAAGTTAAAAAAAAGCCTCGGGAACGTCCAGACGGTACGAGACACAGCCAAAGGTTTGGGCTCCCCCCGGTGGAGAGAGAGAGAGAGAGAGAGAGTGGGTCTGCGGACAACCCAACAAATCAATGTTGTAATTCCAGAGAGCATTAAGGAGCAGGTTGGCAAGAGGCAGAGCTCAGGGGTAACTTGGGTTGGGAGTAACTGCTGGATTCTCATCAGCTAAAACAGTATTGCTTGCCATTGAGTTGCCGTGGAGTCCTGTAGTGTAGCGGTTAGAGCGCTCGCCTCGCAAGCGAGAGGACCGGGTTTGATTTCCAAATGAGGCGAAACCTTGGGCAAGTTTCTTACTCCACCCGCCTCTGTTCACCTCGCAGTAAGTCGGAACTCGGTTGTTAGTTGATTGACGGATCACTTTCTATGAAAGAATAACAATAATTTGGTCACTCAATCCACCACTGTTTGTGGGACACTTTACCTGTAAGCTGTGAAGCGCTTTGAGACGTCTCAACGATGTGCTAAGGCGCTGCATCAAATGCAAGGATTATTATATGGTGTATATATATATATTATACAGTATTACTACATTGAGAGCACTGTCTGACAAGCTATCCTCTGCCTCCACTCGAATGGCTCCGGCCTTCTGCATGTCTCCGTTCCACTATCGGTGGCCGCGCTTTCAAAACTCCCCGCAACTCTGAAACACTCTTCCTCTATCCCTCCATCTTCCCCATCTTCGGGGCGTGCCTGAAGACCTTCCTCTTCGACCGTGCCTACGGTCACCTCCCCCTCCCCTGCTCCCAGTTCGTCGTCGTGCTCCGCCACTGTCAAGCGCTCTGGGACGCTGCCCTGTGCGGGGGGGGGGGGGGCGCCGTGTAAATGTGAGTTGTTGTTGTTTGCTTGTCCAACTAGGACCGACCTTGCAGGGTAACGGGAGCTGAGCGGGAAGAGTCCCTGCCCCCAGTAACAGGTCTGCCTTTCTCCTTTCCTCCACCACCCACAGAGGCTTCCATCCTGAGCTATGACGGTAGCATGTACCTGAAGATCGTCATGCCGGTGGTCATGCACACGGAGGCCGAGGACGTGTCTCTGCGCTTCATGTCCCAGCGGGCCTACGGGCTGCTGGTGGCCAGCACCTCCCGGGACTCAGCAGACACTCTGCGGCTGGAGCTGGACAGAGGACGTGTCAAGCTCACAGTCAACCTAGGTATTGTACACGCCAGGCTGGGGGCTGCACGCTGACCCACCGTGTGTGTGTTTGCGCGGGTGTCCGTGTGTGCGTGCAAGAAACGTAGTGATCGATGTGCCAACGGGCTCATTAACCCGTCCCCGTGTACACTCGTCTGTTGAAGACCAGGGGGTCTGTGTGTCTGTGTGTGTGTGTCTGTCTGTGTGCGTGTGTGTGTGCGCGCGGCTGCTTTTACGTTGTCGTGTGCATGAGGCTCTGGGGAACCGCGGGAGGTGGCGGTATGGGGGGGGGTGGGGTGGGTTGGTGGCGGGTGGGTGGCGATTCAGTGCTCCATGGATTAGTTTCCATGGACCATCTTTTGAGCAGTTGTTGACGTCTTGAGGGGCCTGCTGCCACCTTTACCGTCGGCGTTTAACAAAATGGCCTCTCTCACCCCCTCCACCCTCGCCCGCCGCCCCCTCCCTTCTGCCAAACCACATTCCCAATCCGCGTCACTTGAGTACAAATCGCCCTGACTGGCCTCCCTCGCCGGGCGGGCGGGCAAGCGGACGGGCTTGTGTCCCTCCGTACCTCAAATTCTTTACCAAAACTAACGTGACATCGAAAACACGATTGTTTTCGGAAAACACCCGGTTCCTGTTGTCATTGTTGACGACGATGATGTGTTTTTTTTGGTTGTTTTTTTTCTAAAAAAAAAATCGGATTCGGTTCCTTCCCTCCCCGTTTCGAGTCGAGTTTACTTTTTTAATGCTGGGCCGCGTTCGCGTTGGCTCGCGTTTGCTCGGCGAGTGTTCGCGTTTGCGTGTGTTCGCGATTGCGTGCACGGGTGGGTGGGTGGGTGGGTGGTTGGGCGTTTGGGTGTTTAGCCCCTTCCCCCCGCCCCCCTTCCCTCCCCCCAACCCCACCACCACCACCCCCCCAAAAAAAGAAGCCGTATCGAGGCCCAGTTGGCTTTGCCGTCTCTGGGTGTTGCGTATGTTGTCAGTGTAACGGGAGACTTAAGGAGTCATCGGTCAAAAGATGGCTATCAACCCTTCAAAGGCCTTAAAGCCTGCGGCCCACGTGACAAACAGCCCCGCGGACAGAGTGCACGTCCGAACCTGCAGCTGGACTGCGTTACCTCAAACTCTCCCCACCCCCCACCACCACCACATCCACCCCAACACCCCCCATCCGTCAAACCTCACCCCCCCCACCCCCCTCCACCCCAAATTGACAATCTCCAACCTCCCCCGAAACACGGAAAAGAAATAAATTCTCTCCAATGTCAAAAGTCTACTTTATCGTTACCCCCTCGCTTCCCAATCTGAAGCCCTCTCTCGCTGCCCCCCCCTCTCTCTTCCCTCCCCTCTCCCTTTCTCTCCCCCTCCCTCGCTCCCCCCTTACCTCTACCCTCCTCCCCCTTGCTCCCCGCACTCCCTCTCTCTCTCCCCTCCCTCTCTCCTCCCCTCTCACTCCCTCTCTTTCACTCCCTCCTTCCTTCTCTCCCCTCCCTGGCTGCCTCCAACCCCCTCCCTTTATCCACTTGTTCCAAATTGATTGATTAACTAATCTCTGGAGTGCAGTGCATCCTCATTTCACATCATAAAATGTAATGTGTGTGATATTGAACACGATATAATATTCCTCATTTAACATGACATAAAATTTAATACCGTATAAAATCAAATATCCAAAATGTAATATAAATTGTCATCATCGACGGTACGCGTTTAATGAAAAAAAAATATCCGCCCTCCCGGCGGAATGAGAGTGGACTTTTGACAGAGAGAGACGTCGATCTGATCAGAATGGTCTGTTCGTACGGACGCACTCGCTCACCGTCAATTTGGAAATTTCTCCTTCCCACCCCCCACCCCCCCAAAAAAGAAACCCAACAAAAAACAACGAGCTTGTGCTCCCACCCCATTCGGAAAATTGTCAAAAGGTTTCCTGCCTTCTCCCCACTCTCTCTACCCCCCCCCACCCCCAACCCCACCCCCAACCCCCGTCTCCCACACAATCTCGATTGGATGCTTTCCTTTGTCACCACAGATGTGTTGAGTGCCGCCCTCTAGTGTACAGAGTGCCAGCCTGCAGTGCCAGCTCTAGTGATGCTAGTGTGGGTGAAGGGGGTGTGGGGGGGGGGCAGGGGGTGCGGATTAACAGTTTATTTTCAGAAAAAAAAACACGACACAGGACGCCCACGCTCATGCTCACTGCCCTGCCCTCCACCCTATTGATTCCAACCCCCAGCTCAAGCGCAAACCCTTGACTGTTGGGATGTTTCCCCCCCCACCACCGACGTGAAAGGCACCGTATAAATATAATTTATTGTTGTTTCTCCCCCTCGAACAATCCCATATGGTCGTTGTTTGTTTATTACAGGGTTTTTTTTTTTTGGTGGGGGAGGAGGGGGGAGAATCCGTGTCATTGACTCTCAGCTCAGCCACAGTTAGTGTGAGCAGCCAAGGGCAGCGAGCCTCCCCCACAACACCCCACACCCCCCCCACCCCACCCCACCACCATGTCATCAGCCCAGAGCGAGTCACTTCACCACAGTTCCCAAATGCACATACACACACGTACATATACACACACACACACACACGTACGTACACACACGCGCGCGCGCACAAATGTATACAACCATAAATATACAGGTGTGCACAAACACACACAAACAAACACACGTACACACACACGCGCGGAAATACTGTACATGCGCGCACGGGCTCGTACGCAAACAAGATACCTGGACACACACACACACACACGCACGCGCATAAGGGGACACATGTTGAGGTGTTAAGCGTGTGGGATTAGTCCCTGACTATGAATCCTCAGGCTGTGAGCCAGTGACTGGACGCTGTCACGAGCAGTGTAACAGTGAGGCCAGTGGAGAGGGCAGGTCGGGGCTGGGGCCATCGATGGGGTGGGTAGAGGACAGCGAGAGAGAGAGAGAGAGAGAGAGAGAGAGAAAGAGACAGAGAGAGAGAGAAAAAAAGAATGAGAAAGCAGGCGAAAGAAAGAGAGAAAATGGGGTTGGTGGGTGGGTGGGTGGATGGGGGGAGTGGTGGCGTATAGGCAATGTGATGATGAAGGAAAAGTCAATAGTTTCGAAAAGAATCCAACCCTCTTCCCCCACCCCACACACCCCCCCCCCACCCCCCCGCCCCCCCACGAAAGGTATATCGGCCTCTGCACTGGTGACTGTGCTGTGTGCTCCCCGGCTGTTTGCTCCCACTTTTCTGTTGCGGTTGACGACACAAGACAACGAGCCGACCTGGTGGAAGCGAAACCCAGATTATTCTCGCATAGGGCAGGCTTCTCAAGGGTCTCAGTCCAACTCGCTCCCCCCCCCCCCTCCCACCGTATGAGAGAGAACCTCACACCTCGCTCCTTTCTGTCTGTGTGTGACTCTCTCTCTCTCTCTCTCTTATGTCTCTTTCGCACGCTACCACCTTGCGTGTGCGCGTGTGTGTGTGTGTGTGTGTGTGTGTGCGCGTGTGTTGTGTGTGTGATTCTCAAATCTCTTTCTTTGCGCTTCATCTTCTTTCGCACTCACTCCTTTCTCTCTCATTCTTTCTCTCGCTGTGTCTGCCTCTCTTTCTGCCTCTGTCATCATCTCTTTCTCTCACATCGTCTCTCTCTCTCTCTCTCCCTCCCTCTCTGTTTCACTCACTCTCTTCCCTCGGCCCAATTCAGGATGTTTCACCAGTAATACTTATCCCAACACATGCAAATTCCACCCCTGTTCCGTTTCCCTCTCCCTTTCCCATCCCTTTTCCACCCCCTCTCCCCTTTCCACCCCTGCCTTCCCGCATGTACAGTGATAACCTTGAGAAGCCAGCTAGGGTTATTGCATTGGAAGCTCTCCGACGGCTAAGAGACCACGGTCGCGAGACTCAATTCGAAAGTCGAAACAAAAACACAAGGGGGAAAAAAAATCACTCTACATTTAGCTAAATACAACAACTCCATAAATCTGCGTTTCACATTTCCACAAGGTTGGTGTTTTGCAAGTGGCCATTTTACAGGGTAGGGAAGGAATAAATATAATGATACCATGCTTTTTGTGGGACAAAAATAGCATTATTACTGTTGCTATTATTAGAAAAAAACAATTGGATTAGCGCTTTTATTAATCGCCATTAATTATAATTATTATTAATCATTGGCGTTATTATTAATCATTGTTTGAGACAATTTTATAATATATTTATTGCCAATCTTAATTTATCTTGATTTATTCCAACAGAGACATATTTATAAAATTATACTATTATCGTTAATAATAAATTACGGGAGGGCGGGTGTGAAAATTATAAATTTCAGATAAGAACCAAACTTAGGGAGAAAAAAAACTCTCTCGTCGTAAAAATAATGGCGGAAATCAAGCTTTCAACTAACCAGCAATAAACAACCATCGCCCTCCCTTAGCTGGAGTGAGCAGAAAGTGAAATGGCCACTTCCTTCAATGTGTCTGTCCCCGGAAGGGTGGATTAAATGTTATTGGATGTCTGCAGCTGTTACCTTGAAGGATACGATTTCATCTTTCATTTATTCTTCCCCGTCTAGACTGTATCGGGATTAACTGTAACTCCAGTAAGTTTTGTTCAAGTTTCATTTTTTGGCTGTTTCTTAAAAAAAAATGCTTTGTTATATTGTGATATATACACACTCGCACATATATATCTGTCTACATATCTATGTGTGTGTGGGTATATATATATGTTCCTAAAAAGTTGTTTGATGTATTCAATGTTTGGGATTTTTTGGTAGGTTGGGGGTTGGGGGAGAGAAAGGGTGGTGGGGGGGGCGGAGAAGAGGGAGTGGGAGAGAGGGGGTGTGGGGTGGGGGAGAGAAGGGGTGGGAGGAGAGTTGGAAGAAGTATGGATTGGGGGTAGTGGTATGGATTGAGGGAGTACAGGGTAAGGGTGTAGGAAGAGAAAGGGAATAAAAGGTGTTGCGAGGGAGGGGACATAGAGGGCGGGGCAGGGGGTGAAACTTCGAGATGAATGAGTCAGAGCCGCGGGGACAGTAGACTGTATCTGGTTTTCTACTGACTCAGCATAGGGAATCTCTGTGAGTATCCCAAAAAGCTTTTGGGGCGTCTGACTGGCAATGGGCTATAGAATGTGACTGGCAATGGGACAGTGTGACTGGCAATGGGACAAAGTGTGACTTTGTGGGACAGTGTCACTGGCAATGGGACAGAGTGTGACTGGCAATGGGTCAGACTATGACTGGCAATGGGTCAGACTATGACTGGCAATGGATCAGAGTGTGACTGGCAATGGGTCCGACTATGACTGGCAATGGGTCAGACTATGACTGGCAATGGGTGGTGATGTAGCCAATGGACAGAGAGTGAAGTGATGATTATTTGTGCTGTGATAATGATCACGGGGACAAGTGAGCGTTGATGGACAACAAGGCACCTCAGAGGAATTAGGCACTGCTCTCCCTCCCGCTCCCCCCCGAGCCCACCTCTTGGGACAGCCTTCAGGAACTGGGCTGGTACAGGGTGTGAGGTGGGAAGGGGAGTACTCAAGAGGAGAAGGGAGTTTCTCTCTCTCTCTCTCTCTCTCTTACCCGGTGTCAATCTTGGCTAACAATCCCCACAGATAAAATAATTTGTTCACTTTCTTTGGGGGGGTGCGGGGAACGTTGCTGCGCGCGAGCCGGCTGCCAGGTTCGCACACAAAACGCGCAGTCGCTACACTTCGCGGTCAATCCTGTGAAGCGCTTTGAGATGTTCTTGAAGCGTTCGGAAACTCTATCGAGACCAAGGATTATTATTACTTCTGTCGAGGTCATTTCTAAGCGGTGTTCAGCTGCTCCAAAAACGAACACATGCCACGTTACATAGGAACGGGTGTGACTTTTCTTAGTACGTTTGAACGTCCTAAAAATTTTCTTCAAAAGGCAAAATACTGCAGACGCTGGACATCTGAAATAAAAACAGGAGTCGCTGGGAACACACAGCAGGTCAGGCAGCATCTATGGAGAGAGGAAAGTGAGTTAACGTTTGGTCAAGAGGTCACCGACCTGAAACGTTAACTCACTTTCCTCTCTCCATAGATGCTGCCTGACCTGCTGGGTGTTCCCGGCGACTTCTGTTGATATTTTGTTCACCAGGTATGTTGTCAAGCCATTTCTGAACAGTCTTATTAACAGTCCCAGTCCCACCGATGATTATAAATCACTCGTTCATTTTGTGGCTGTTTTGGTGGGGGTGGGTGGGGGCGGATTGTCACTGCACAAACCGGCATAATAATTATATTTTACAATGAGTTTGCGAGTTTCAAATATCGGGGGTGGGATGGGGGTGGAATTGTGACATGACAATTATAGATGCATTTAAGAAGTGGTGGAAAAACGTCTCTTATTTGGAGGATTATGAATTATTATCAATTAGCTGTGAAATTACAAATTCTGCACAGTTCTGCGATTCTTAAATCTCGAGAAACAGCAGGCTAAGACTAGGTAGAATTCTGGCCTTGGGGAATCCACCTTGTGACTGTTTCTGGGGTCGTCGCTGCGCCTAAATCGGCTGCTGCATTTGCCCTGCAAAACGCCTGGTCGCCACACTTGACAGTGAAGTACTGTGTGGCACTTAGGGATGATGTGGTAAGATGCAAGAATGCAAGAATTATTATCTTCAACGTGTCGAAATATAAAACCCTGGGAGCCTCCCCCTCAATCTGCTTCTTTCTGAGTGTCTTGAGACTGTCAGATACCTCTCCGCTTCCTCCTCCCGGCCCCTTCCCGGTCTGTCTCTCCGCAGATCTCCTATGGTGTCGGCGTATAACCACATGAGGTGAGACCATGAGGCCGGCACAAACATTGTGCAGGGCGTAACATTGGGCAAGTTTCCTTACTCCACGCACCTATGTTTACCTGCAGTAAGTAGGAACCCGGTTGTTAGTTGATTGGCGGATCGCTTTTCTGGGGGTAATAATCCTTCCCAAATCAAATATAAATAAATAATTATAACTTGCTCGCTCAATCTGCGCAATTGGCTGCCGCGTTTCACCCACAAAATATAGTCATTATGCATTACAGTATATTCTGTGAAGCACTTTACGACGTCTTGAAGATGTGATAAGGCGCTGTATCAAAAAATGCAAGGATTATAATGGTTTAGCTGCGGTGAGTGTGTGATATAACAGGAACAGGAGACCTGAGCACTGAGACTGGAACGGAGGCGAGAGGAGGAGAGATCTGATCCAGGTAAGTAGCGAGTTAAAGAGAGAGGCACACACACAGACGCACATGCACACAAGCACTCACACACATACTGACATTAGAGACGGGTGACTCCCTGCCTCCAATGACGGGTCTGCCCTTCAAAGTCCTGCAGATGAGCCAGGCTGAGCTGTGCTGTCATCAGCTGTGCCCTGGAATTCTGCGGACAGGGCTGGCTCAGGAACCGGACTAGAGACCGCTAGAGCAGTGGCTCGATTCTGACATTCCACTGCCAAACACGTGACCTTGGAGCCAATTCAGCTCCGAGGAGACCCAGCTTACCTGCTCCCCCCCCACCCCCCACCAGCAAATAGATTGAGATGCATATATAAATCAAGAGAGATGCTCACACAGACATTAAGGGAGACATGCACACACACGCTTTATAGATATTAAGAGGAAAGCAATATAGAGCGATACACACAAACATTAGAGGAAAGACGTGCACACAGACCTGATATCTGCAGTGTTTTCCTATCCACAAAACGGCAAGTCCCCATTAATGCTGTTTATTGAACTCTTACACGATGTTTCATCTCATCTCTGCTTCATTGATCACATCGGCTCTCTTTAACTCTGGAGATGCACTGCACTCTACCCCAAGGCTAGGAGTGTTAAGGCTTTGGCTTGCAGGTTAATGGGAGCTGAGTGGGAAGAATCCCTGACTCCAGTGACTGATCTGTCCTTCCAAGGAAGCCAGGCTAGAAGGGCTGTCATCAGCAGTGTCTGAGTGCTGCGGAGCTGCCTGGCTCAAGAACTGGACTACCGAGAGAGCGCTTATAGAGGGTGGGCTTGATTCTGACACGTCACATTGGAACCAGTTTATCCCCAAGGAAACGCCACTTACTTTCACCAAAGGATAGTCATTGGTCATTTGATATCTGACAAGATGAGCCCTCACTAGGTGGATGGTAAGTACCAGGAACACTCTTGTGAACTTCCCAGTGGGCAACACAACTGAATATGAAATATGTGAGAGTTTTGCCACCATCTTCCTCAGCTCGGGCACACTTGAGGGATGGTTCCACCAGTCGGAAGTGCAGAGCTTGCTTGCCTCTCTGCAAACCAAACATGGTGGGTTCCAAGCCCCGAATATAGGTGTCAGCTTGGCTCAGCTGGTAGCTCTCTTGCCTTGGAGTCAGGTTCAAGCCCCACATCAGGGACTTTAAGCTCAGGGTCTAGGCTGACGCTGCAGTACATTGCTGGAGGAAGCGTTGCCTTGTTGTGAGTGCTGTCCTTTGGATGAGACGTTAAAGTGAAGTGCTGTCTGTGCCTGTTCACTCGGACATTAAAGATCCCGCAGCAATATCGGAAATGAGAAGGAAGTTTGTCTCAAGGCTTTGAGATGTCTCGATGATGTGATAAAGCACTGTGTCAAATGAAGGATTATGAATGAATGTTCACAAACCCAGAACCCAGGTAACGCCAAGCTTCAGAGTTTCCTCATCAGCTTTCAGATGGACATCTGCCTTTAGTGTGGTGGAGGACCTTTACAGCTTGTGACATGCCAGCCACCTTGATGTTCTCGAGCCCCATGTCTAATGGCTTACACAGCACCAGTTGCTTAATCCAGGTCCTCTTGTGAGGAGCATTGGCAAATAGACGGGCCTGATTTGAAGCCGACTCCGCTTCCAGGCTGCTCAGTGACAGATCAGTGTAGGCTGCAGCCCTCCCTCCCTTCTTGTGTTTGCCACAAGTCCACCTGACTGCTTGATCCTCGACTTGCAAAAGGACCTTTTCCTTTACATCCCCTGGAGCTCTGAATCATACAGGTGAATTCTGTACTACGGTGGAACATAGAAACAGGAGTAGGCCATTCAGCCCCTTGAACCTGTTCTGCCATTAGATCATGGCTGATCTGGACCTCAACTCCAATTGCCCCACCTTTGCCCCATATCCCTTGAGACCTTGACCTAGTAAATATCTATCCACCTCAGTCTTGAAAATGTGAATGGATCCAGCATCCACAGCCTTTTGAGGGAGAGAGTTCCAGATTTCCACTATCCTTTGGGTGAAAAAGATGGCTGAAGGAAAGGAAGCAAAATGGAGTTAGGTCCCATGGTACAAAGCGGGTACTTGGGGCTGTTCTGGGACACTCCTGTTCCTCGTTTATATCAATGACTTCTCAGACCCAGTGTAAGACAGTGACATTTGCCGATGCCACCTCCATGGGGGGAGCTGCGCAATCAGGAGGCAGCAAAGGTCGTGCGGAGAGAGCTTGATAGGGTAGGCACGTGGGCTGATCGCTGGCAAATTAAGTTTAATGAGGTATTACATGTAGGATCCAAGAATAGGAACCACAACAACTACATGAATGGGATTGGGATTGAGTTTGCCAAGGATGAAGATGAAAG